GTTAAGGTGTTTTTCACTTTAAAATAATGGTCCAGATCACTAGTAGTTCCTGCAGGCTGACAAGGTAACGCTTGAGTAATTAGTGAGAGGCTAATGTATTTTTCACTTTAAAGCTAAAGTGCTACTAAGGAACTACTAGTGATCTGGACCATTATTTTAAAGTGAAAAACACGTTAACCCCTCAGTAATTACTCAAGTTACTTAACATATTTTATATCTGACATACTGTACAGTCATACATTTGTGTGAAGCACTAGTGATATTTTACCAGTAGGTCTTTTGGAGTGGGATACATTGATACTGAACTGACACGAAGCAGAGATCATAATTTGTGAACTAATTTAATCATGAGCTTGTCACTTCTTAATTATTAACATTTTTAAGTGAATTTTCATTTTTATTATTATTCTTTGTTTAAGTTTGAACATCCATCCTTTGGTAAGAGTAGTAGTCACAATTTCAACCTGTAGCCGACTTATTTGGGGGATATCAAATTCATAAATTAGTTTCCACAAAGAACCCAATTGTTCACTTTTAAGACGTTACTGTTGTGATTAGCAGTTAATTGGTTATTCTTTATTAACTGGTCATAGTTCACAAGTAGTTCTCAATGAGGATATATTTTTTAGTAATTATCAAATATCTAAAAAGGAACTACCTTTGTCCTAAATTTGCTATTTACTGCTTAGTTAATCTCGCTTCTCGATTAGTTAATAGTATTAAGTTAAGTGTTAATGTAGCACTACCTATTACTTCCTGCATAGTTACTTGTTAACAATGGCCCATTATTCTAAAGTGTTACCAACTCTTCTGCTTTATTTATACTTGAGCAATATTTGTAAACAGATTGTTGACTTCAGATGACTTTCCGTAGCAATTCTATGAGTCTAACCCCTCTACTGTCCTTTCACTGGTGCTCAATAGAGTGAAGCAACGAAACCTGAGCAGCTCCCTGGGCTAATTTGGTTGTGCCTTCAGTGTGTTGCATTTAGAAACACATGGTGTGGGATAAATCTTTCAGCCCTTCGAAAGTGCCATCTCTATGGAAGCCTGTTTCCGCCACTGAATTTAAAAAAAAAAAAAAAAAGGTAATTTATTTATCTCACAATTCTGACTGTTTTTCCAAGAATTGTGAGATATAAAGTCAGAATTGAGAGCTATAAAGTCAGAATTGAGAGATATAAAGTCAGAATTGAGAGATATAAAGTCAGAATTGCGTGATATAAACTCGCAATTGGGAGTTAAAGTCCAATTTTGAGGGGGGAAAAAGAGTGTTATATTCTCAGAATTGTGAGTTTATGTCTCTCAATTCTGAGTTTATAACTCGCAATTGTGAGTTTATATCTCACAATTCTGTGAAAAAAAGTCAGAATTGTGAGATAAGTCACAATTACCTTTTTTTTTTTTATTCAATGGCAGAAATGGGCTTCCATAAAAATCAGCAATGTAATGGTGCTGTAAAGATTAAATCCAAACTCTTTGCAGAACCTAAAGTGAAACATCAAGAACTCCAAAGAAACATAATGTAGCAACTCCAAAACCCATTCAGACAGATAATAACAAGATAAACCACTTAAACTGCATATGATAAACATATGGAACTCTACATCAAAGACTGCATTCAAATGCACTTTGTTTTTTTAGTACTATAACAAATTTGATTGCTATACACAGTATTCTGAATATTGTATTTTCTCAACAACAACAACAACAACAACAACAAAAATCTAGGATATAGCTTTTTTTGAACAGTGGAATGGAAGTGTAGCACCTTTGAACAGATGTTTCTCTATCAGCATTGAAGCCAGATTTATTTTTGGCACAGCCATGTAATGTCTGTCCATTAAACATGAGCAGGAATACAAGGTCCTCTTGCAGCAAGTCAACATATATATATACCTCTTTGACTGGAAGTCTTCTACCCAGTGAAAGAAATGGAGAAGTGGGGACAGGCACTCAGACTGGGCTATTGGTAAAGAGATTCACCAACTTGACTGCAGGTTGTCTGGGTAGGTATAAGGTGCATCTCACATTACAGTCTG